AGCTTAACTCACAGTGCCTGGCACACTGCTATTATTGTCTTTTCAGTTGTATCCAACTCTTTGTGACCCCATTTGGGGTTTTCCTGGCAAAGATACTAAAGTGGTTTCCCATTTCCTTCACCAGCTCATTTTACAGATGACGAAACTGAGGCAAACAGGGTTGACTTGCTGAGGGTCACATTGCTAGGAAGTGTTTGAGGTCAGATTTGAACTCAGGTCCTCCTGACTCCAAGCCTGGCAATTTATCCATTGCACTACCCTTGCTGCCCATAGCAGGCACTTAATAAATGCTTGTTCCTTGCTTGCTGTAAAATAAGGAAAGTCAACTAGATTATCTCCGTTGTCCCTTCTAGCCCTAAAATTCTATTATTTCTATGTTATATACCTATTTTGGAATGAAATTTTCTATTATGATTAATCATTGGAGGCTAAGTGCTTTAGTAATAAACATTAACCTGTTTTACAATTGGGAAACTGGGGCACACAAAGCTGAGACAGCAAATCTAAGATGCAGAATCAAGGATAGAACTATGTAATAAAACTCCCTCCCTTATAGACAAGAGGCTCTTTCTGAGTATTGTGCTGAGCTCTTGTTGTCTATACAATACACAACAGTGTAGAAAGGGCTGCTGGTCATGCTTTGAACTTTTCAGCCCCATTCATACACACTGATAGAAATACCATCAACAGCATCTTTTGAATACAAAGGACAATTTTATAATTCATTTTAATATTATTGTAGCTACATATTGAAGACTTGCAAAATCCTTAGAAACATCTCTTTTCTTGTGGTGGGGGAGGGCAGTGTTCTCGTATTATGCCAGCTAATCGAGCAAGCATTAAATGCTTGATTTAATTTAAAATGCTTGATTGCTAAATGCTTAATTAAATTAAATTAAAACTTACTATGTGTTAGATTTGGGGGATACAAAGTAAAAAAAAAACTAGCCCCTGTTCTCAAGTGTATTACATCCTATTGGGGAAATAACAGTTACATATATGAGTGTATTATATGAAACATATAAAGCAAATACAAGATAAGCTTGAAGATGAAGGCACTAGCTTCTGGTAGAAGGCAATGGGGTTGGGGGGAACCAGGAAAGGCATCATGCAAAAAGGGGTACTTGAATTCACTCTTGAAGGAAACCAGGTATACCAAGCTGGCATTTATATAGTACTTTAAGGTTTGCAAAACACTACCAAAAATAGCTCAAATTGTCCTCACAATAATACTGTGAGGTAGGTGCTATTATTATTTCCATTTTGCGGATGAGGAAACTGAGGCAAAGGTAAAGTGACTTGCCCAGGGTTACATAGTAAATGTGTCTGAGGCTGGGTTTGAACTCAGGTCTTCTTGCCTCTGGGTCTAGCACTCTTATCTACTGTCTCATTTAGCTATTTCGTAATTTTGCAATTTCATTGAAAAAGCACCGCAAGATGAGGAAAGCCCATAGGAGGAGGAGCAGCTCATCTCTGGCCATGTCAGCCTTACCTCATGCTACTCTGCTCACAGTATACACACCAGTCAAAATGTATTACCTGATGTCTCCTAAAGATGCGTCACTCCTTTCAGTCTCAGTCTCTTCCATTTTACAGACATCCTGCCCACTGACCCTTTGAATGTTACAGGTAGAAAAGAAACAATTCTAGACCAAGACTCTTATTATGTGGATGAGAAAACTAAGAGCCAGAATGAAGTGGTTATCCAAGATCACAGAGCAGGTTAGCCTTCAAGGCCCCAGGCAAACGTCACCTCCTCCATTGAACCTTCCTTGGCTGTACCCAGCTGAGACCCTGAAAAAAGCTTCAAGTCACTGGAAGATAACTCATATATGATTGGGGAACATATCTTTTGGAAGTTATTCCTGTATTTTGGTGTAGGGATGATTTCTTCTTCATCTAATCTCCTTGCATTTTATCCTTCTCTCACGTACTTGGATTCAAATTTGTATTACGTTTGTTCACGTGTATGTTATATCTCTTCCTACTTGATGGAAGTCAGGGATGTTTTTCCTTGTTTCTTTCTTTTTTTTTTTTTGATACAGCAAACTGTCAGTGACAAAAACTTCCTTTGACAATACTGGCTGGTACCTTCTTTGCAACTTACGATATATGAGATCATCTTTAATTGGTGGTAACATGGTGTCGTGGATAGAGTGTTGGATGTGGAGTCAGAAAGACCTAAATTCAAATCCTTTCTCAGACATTTATGAACTATGTAACTCTGAGTAAGTCATCTAACCTTTCTCAGCCTCAGTTTCCTTAATTATAAAAATTGGGGACAATAATAGCATTCACTTTACATGATTGTTGTGAGAAAAACCATGTATGTACATATAAAAATATTGTAATATGTGCAATATATTATAGAGGACATATCATAATATATAATATACTATTATAGATATCGAATATACGTGTAACATTATAGATAACATAATATATGCAATATATGATTATAGACAACCATTATATGTACAATATATTACATATAGCATATAATAAATATTGTGCTTTGCAAGCAATAAAGATCTATATAAGTGGAGCTCAACATCAGTCAATTATTAAAGTCTTAGAGAGTTGTTTAGAGAAGGAAGAAAACAAGCATTTATTAAGCAACTACTATGTGCCCTAAGCATTCATAAATATGATCTCATTTGATCCTGACAACACCCCTGGGAAATAAGTGCTATTACAATCCTCATTTTACGAATGAGGAAACCAAGGGAGATGAGATTCAGTGACTTGCCCAGGATCACACATAGCCAGTGTGTGATAGAGGCAGGATTTGAAAACAGGTCTTCCTGTCTCTAAGGCCCACTATCCAACTGCCTCTTAGTTCATATCTTTGCATCCTCCCTCCCCCCCTCACCTCCCAAGCACCAAGATTACATATAGTATGCATTAATAAATAGGTGTAATGTGGCATAGTAGACCTGGCTTCTGTTGCTTTCCACCTGTGTGACCTCCCTGGACCTCACTTTCATCGTTTATAAAATGAGGGCTGTGGACTAGATGAGATCCCTTCCTCCACCTCTAGATCTATGATCCCATTTGGTACTAATGGGAAAGGAACATGCACCTATGAACCTAGTCCTAGTTCATTTGAAAAAGCATTTAGCTTGTACTCCCATGAACTCTGACCACCACTTAGCAAGTGAGCTTACTTACTATTGCCTTCTGGGCAAAGTGCCTTGGATTAAAAACAACCGTGAATATTCGCTGCTCTTTGAAAAGAACAATTGTATAACGGGGCCTGACCAATGAATTTCAAATGTTTGTTGCACATTCTTCTGGGTTTATATGTTTCTGTAGAATTAAGCAAGTGTGTTTGATACAATAATACTGAGACCTTACACACTTAAAGTAGATTTTTACTTTGGGTGGGGGGGATTGCAAAGGACAGAATTCCAGAATTCTGCCAGTTTTCTGCCTGCTACCTTTACATGCATGTTGCATTATGAATAAGAATTACTTCCGCACGCTATGAATCAACATAAATAGGCAAGCCAGCGCCACTTGTCAATATATCATTATTCTCTATTGGTTATGTATACGTGCCAAATGTAGAACTATAGCTCATAGTAAACACAATCTTTCGGGTCAGTTTTAAGTAAAAATTACTTTTTCAGATTCCTAGACTAATTAGTGTTTGCCTGAAACCCATCTAATTTTTCATTCTAATAAAAATGCTCCCACCTCTAAAACTACCCTATGTCTAGAAACAGGTAACTTCCTTTTAAAGCCTATAAGCCTTGATAATTTTTTTTTCTAGAGTAACACAACTTCCAATAATAGCGTTACTGCCGAGCGTATGAGAAACCCAGGCTGGCGGGCCACACACACACACACACACACACACACACACACACACACACACACACACACACACACTTTGCAATGGAAAAAGCTGTTGGGGCTCCTTTCCTTCAGCTGCAGGAGTCAGCCCTACACTGTTTCGGGTTGTTTATTTTGGTTACCGATTTCTCTTTCTAAACAAAAACCAAATCAGTCCACGCGACGAATGATAAAGTTGTTAGTCATAAAAAGAGTAATAATACCTGATCCTCATTAAAACAGAGAGCTGTGAACTGGAGCAGCCTTCACGCCTGGGGACGGCTGACACACCTCGAGGGAACTGTAAAGGTGGCTCGGTCCTAAATGGGGGCGACCGTGACAGCCCCACCAGCCCCCGCCGTGAGTGGGCTGGGAACCTTTCCGGGCTCTCCAGGCCAGCTCAACCCCTCCTGATCTCCGCGAAGGGAACACCCTTTAAATAAACAAGCCTGCCCCTGCCTCGTGGTGCCCAAGTGTGTGTGAACACTCCCTCCGCTGTCATTTCCTGCAGCAGGCCCGGGGCCGGGGCGAACGCGGGGCGGACCAGGGCGCGGGCCGGGGGTTCCCTCCCAGGCCCCACCCGAGGCACTCGGCCGGCAGTGGCGCTGGCAGAACTTTCCCGGAGCCGGTCCGTGCAGCAGCGCCGTTCCCGGGACACTGAGCCAGAAGGAGGCCAAACCCCCGCGCCGGGGGAAGGGGCGGGTCAGGTGGGCGCTTCTTGAGAAGTCTCACCGGTTTTTCAGGCTCAGCCCAGAGCCGGAATAGCCACGGCGGCCACGGCTTCAGCGGGTGAGTCAGGGCTTGGGAACAGTGGGCGGGGGGAGAGCAGGAGAATGAATGATGTCAGGCGCGGCGGGGCGCGGGGCGCGGGGCGCTGGGGTCGGGCACCGGCAGCGGCTGCGGGGCGCAGGGCGCAGAGCGCAGGGCGAAGCCCGGAGGACAGCGGGGGCGCTGGGGGTTGGCTCGGCAGGGAGGAGGGCAGCGGAGCAGCCCCAGCCCTGCCCAGCCCGGCCCAGCCCAGCCCGGCCCAGCCCGGCCCCGGAGCCGCCCGCGCGCGCCGCTGCCGCAGTACCCAGGTGCAGCGGGCGGGCGGCGGCCGAGGGGCGGGCTGGCCCCGGAGCTTCCAGCCCCGGTCACGGTCACGGTCGCGGGCGGGCTTGTGAAACGCCGAGCACCTGGGGAGGTGCCCGGGGGCAGGGAGCAGATTCGGGAAGAAACTTTGCAGCGGATTCTCTTCCCCCCCCCGGGGAACCGGGGAGCTGCTGCAGAGCGCCCGGAGCTGGCCGCGCTGGGGTCTGTCTGGCGGCTGCTGCGGCTGCTGCGCTCCGAGGAGCAAGTGCCTTTAGCCTGGAGCCTCCGGGGCCACGGTTAATAGAGGGTAAGAGGAGGCGACTGGAGGGGCGGGTGGGCGGACGGCAGACCCGGGGGAGAATCAGCTGAAGTTTGCCTTCTGCGGAAAGAGAAGACGGAAGGGGGGAGCCGAGAGTTGAGGTTTATTTTCTTCCCCCCTGCCCTTGGCATCCCTACTTTTCATGGGGGAGGAGGGGGGACGGTCTTGGGCTTTTTATTTTTATCACGTTATTCATTACTGGATGGATTACAGTTCATTCATTTGCAACCATTTTAGGTCAGTTGTGAGAATGCTCACTCCCATTTTACTGAAAACATAGATTAAACCACAGCTTTCCCAAGGCCACCTGAGAGGTTACTGGCAGAAATTAGATTTTGATAGGAAGTACCTTGGCTGTTCCTCCCCCCCACCCCCGCCCCTTTTTGAGAGGCACTGGTTAATAAAATAACAGCACAGCTCTAGAAATGCCAGCCCAGAAACCTCCCCAAGCTTTGGCATTCCAGAGAGTCGCCTGTTTGTTAGGTAAAGGGGAGAACTGACTTTTTACCTTCAGTTTTTGGAAATGTAGCTGTGGACTTGTGCCAGCCTGTATAGGAGCTCTGTGTGTCCCTCAAGGTCTAGTAGGAAATAGATGGCTTTTGAGAAGCCACAGTTACTGCTTAAAATAATCCAACTATTGTGTTGCACCTGTTAACTGTATCCTGTGATCTTTCCGTTTTAAGAGTCTGTAGCTTAATGATGAAGCCTCATTTCTTGCTGCAGGGCCTGCCTCTTCTAATGGGACTTGAAAATAATTATAACAGGTCGTTATTGCACCTTTGCTCCTCTTTAAAAAAGTTAAGATCTTCGTGAGGAACTGTTTCTTTTCTAAAACTCTAAATGGGCTTAAGTGATGTCAATGTAGACTCAGGTTTCCCTCTTCCTATTCCAGCTGTTCATGGAATTGAACTTGTAAGAATCCCTATGGTAGGATATATCTCAAGGTGCTTTCTCAAAACTTCAACAGAAGTAGTTTTTAAAGTGAGCGATTGGTGAGTTGTTCAACTCCTTTCGGGAACAGATCCTCTAAAATGCTGGCCCTGCCAGAAATATTTTGTTTAAATAAGGATTCATTTTCTCGAAAGTGAATAATCTGATATTTGAGGAAGAAATGAAATGTTTTAGATAAGTGGCAGCTTCAACTACCCCTTCCACAGGTCCTTTTTTCTAACAGGCAGTGCTCAGAGTTTCCTATTTGAGTGGTACCCTTGGTTTGCTGATACTGTTTCTTTGCCACAGTGGTGGTATTGAATACTTTAACAATAGCATAGAGTTTGCTTTTCCTGGTTTCACTTAATAGGCTGACACATACAAACCTGAAGGAGGGGGGAGGGTCCCTATACTAAGAACATGCTGTTTTTCTCTGCTCTTTCTTTAGCATGCGTCCAAAACTCTAAAGTGGGTTTTTTTTTTCAATGATCATCTAACATTTGCTCATACTACATCTATAATTTTTTTTTTAAGCTCAGACTTTTAGTGAAAAGGTTGTGGAAAACCTAAACAAAACCAAAGTTTTACTGTAATAGCAGAAGATAAGCCAACAAAACTTGGATTATTTTGAGTAAAGTTTCATATATGAAGCTGGAAGCTACTTTAGAGATCATTTAGACCCATCCTTCATTTTACAGGTGAGGGAATTGATGCCAAAGAGCTACTGAATGAAAGGCGAACTTGAATCTAAATCCTAACTCTAAACATAGCATTTTCCCTCTCTTCCCCTTCCCTTGTCTAATCAGATTAAAATGTAATTGGGAAATATTTAACAAAATAAATAAAAACTCAATAAAACATATCACATTTTAGAACTAAGTCAATATATAGCTTGCAGGGATCTATATGTATGGATTTGTGGCCGGGTTTCCATCGGAGTTTGACACTACTGCCCTAGGCTCACAAAACACAAAAGTACCCACTTGTATTGTTAAAGGAAGTCTTCTCACCTGGCAGCTCCTCTGTAGTAATCAAATCACAGGTCTGGCCTCCATCCCTGCCTCTTTACTCATCCCCATTCACAACTCTGATAAGTTTTAAGGGGCTGGGGTTGTGGTTATTCCATCATATTTGAGCAGTGATTTTCACTTTCTGTTCTAAACTGCACAATGTGTTAGAGTAGACATCTGACTCAATTTTGTAAAGTAATTCATCAAGTGAAAACTTATTGTTGGTCATTTTTGTCACTAGTCAAAAACTTCTCTAGAGAATAAGCGCCAGGATTCTAATCTTCCATTAGTCTTCCATCTAGTCTTCCATTGATCTGAGCTGTTGAAATATGAAAGTATTGCTGGACCTTCTTTTAATCAATCAAGTATTTATTAACTCAGTTTCATAGTACCTATTCAGTTCCTGGCACTATGGCTAAGCTTTGAGGGCACAAAGATAGTCACTACCCTCAAGGAGCTTACTTTCTATGGGATCAAATCAGAAGGCAGTTACACATCTGGGTAATATACAAAACAAAACCAGCTTATTTTATGAATCATTACCTGTAACATTGTAAACAGTTTACAGTAAATCCTCTTAAGTTAAAGTTTATAGTAAATACAATAAAAGTTTACAATAAAAAACAAGGCCACAGTTTAACTTAAAAAATTGAAGCATAGATAGAAAAATAGAATAAATAGAAAAATTTATCATTTTTTGTCTTTTATTTAATGAACATATTTTGAGTACTGACTTATGGAAGACACCATGCTAGGTATTCTGAAGGATACAGAGATGAATAAGATAGTTTCTTTGTCATTCATTAATGAGCTTACAATCTAGTAAGGAAGTGGCAATAGAGATGTAAGCATTACTAGGTAGAATGGAATGTTAGAAGTCCAAAGTACATGGGAGTTCAAAGGAGAGAGGTATCCTTTTTGACGAAGGGAATTAATGAAGTCTTTGTGAGATAGTTTTGTAAAATGAACTTTGTAAGATGGGAAAGAATTGGATTGAAGGTTGAGGGGGATAAAGAGAAAAAGGCATTTCAGGTGGGAGGAATAGCATGAACAAAACCATGGAGGTTGGGAAGTTGGGAACATGGGATGATGCGTTTGAAAAATGATGAGTACTTTGGCCTGATCAGGGAATCGTAGAATGGTTAGTGTTGGAATGAAGTGTAGAAATCTAGTCTATTGGTTTTCAAACTTTTGGGGCTTAGGGCCCCTTTATGCATGTAAAATTTATTGAGGACCCTTCCCCAGAGCTTTTGTTTATGTGGGTGATAATATTAGTATTATTGTGAAAATAGTTTCAACCTCATGGATCCTTTGAAAGGTGATATCCAGACCACAGTTTGAGAACCACTGATCTAGTCTAGTGCTCTCATTAGATTGAGCCTTAGAGAGAAAGTAACTTGCTCAGAGAGGACCAGGAGAACACCGGTCTTCTGACTCCCAATCCAGTGATGTTTCTATTCTAGGAAGGCTACCGAGTGAAATGGTGGAAGATCAGGCTAAAAAGATTGGTTAATGTCAAATTATAGAGGGCCTCAAATGCTGGATTTAGAGGATTGGCATTTATTCAAAAGATCTTGGGGGATTCATTGAAAGCTTTGATCATAAGGAATGGTACTTTAGGAAGAAGGCATCTTTGTTGGTTACAGTTCATCGATGAGTAGGTTAGGGCTCATTACTGATGATTCATACCTGAGCAAAGGAGCAGTAGTCCATGGTTAGCAGTGAATAGGCTATTTGCTATAGCAGATAACAGTAGGAGTTTTCTAGAGAAGCTAGAAGAGATGTTGATTCTAATCCAGAGACAGTAGGCATTTTCAAGAGAAGCCACAAAAGACATTGATTCCATTCCAGAGCTCTAGTCTTTCCGTAGGTATTAGCACAGCTACAAGCCAGAATTGTGCAATGTTTGCCTGCATGCTGAAGGGACTCATCACCTAGTTGTACATTAAAAGCAAGTTGGCCTCTGGTGAAAGGCTTTGAGTAAGGGTAAGAAAGAAAATTGAGATTTAAATACAAAGGAGATGAATATGGCATCAATTTTCAGACTTACTGTGATCAAATATGGCAAAGAGTTGTACCTTGTATGAAGGAAATAGACATGATTACCCCAAATGGAACCAATGGATATAATCCTGTGCTTATATTACTGGAAGAACAGATTTCAGAGAGCTCACATAAAAGTGGTGGGAAAGTACTTCATATTCTATGGAAAAAATTAGTCTTATCCTTGAGTGGTAAATGTGAGGAGAAATGGAGATAAAAGGAGGTCCAGTCTTGTGTACTTGAAACAGTCTACCAATTAGGGAATCTTTTGGATTTCTTCCTTCTCTACTAATGTAAATACCCCAGGGAGGTTTACACCTATTGTATTGTTTATCTCCTGCCTTGGGTTATTTTAGATGCCCAACATCTTCATGCTTTAATGGATCTGTGATCTCAGCAATGCAAGGACCACTTCACTACAAATCGTAACCTATACAAGCTTTCCCATTCTGTACAATTTTTTGTTCGTGTTCTCTCAAAGATCCTTCTTAGAGGCTTTGCTCCTCATGGACCCATCACATAGCTGTCAGTGGCTACGTTTGCATTACACCTTGTGTACTTAAAATTAACCCAATTTAGGGAGGCCAGAAAGAGAAAATTGTATACATTGACTTCACAACACAAATGCCCTTGAATTCAGAGCATGTTTAAGAAACTACCGAACTCACTAGAAGCCTTGCTTGCATTTCGTGGGTACCAAGGCAGCACTCAAAACAGTTCATCTGTTTATTATCTCTTGCTTTTATTGGTCATATATAAACATTTTCTGGTCATCCATTTCCTTAATAGCCCCAGCACCATTTTTATGTGTAGGTCATCTTCAGAAATGTCTTACAACCTACTGGTGGCCATCATGTGTTTTTCCACTGTTATTCAGGCCATTAAAAACTTTGGTTTTTAGGAGATTGTGGTGTTGCCATGCACAATGTCTAGCTCAAATAAGATAGAATGGAATTTTGAATTGAATTTTGCAGATGAGAGGGGAATCTAAGAGACTATTTTTAG